TACTGGGGTGCCGCTGGCCACTTTTCACATGGTGCCAGGCTCTGTTCTGTACTCACTACACACTGGGTCCCACACACTGGGTCAGGTCAGGTCAGGTCAGGTCAGGTCAGGTAGCTGCTGTCTGGTGCGACTGCCGGTCACTCACCCACCCGTCGGTCCTCTGGCACCAGTGTCTAGGTCACCCGTCCTTCACGCGTCTTAGTAGGATGGTACGTCACCGTCTAGTCTTAGGTCTCCCAGAGTCGCTTGCCCCGCTCCCTCGCTCGCCTGTGCCGTCGTGCACCCTTGCGTCGAGGGTCGGCAGCGCGCTGCCCCTCACTCCTCCTCGTTCCCCCCCACCACGCCTCCTTTCCAGACCCTGCACTTGGACGTCTGGGGCCCCTCCCCGGTCCTTGGCCCATGTAAGGAGCGCTACTTCCTGATTGTGGTGGACGACTACTCCCGCTACACCACGGTGTTTCCCTTACGACGGAAGGCCGACGTGCCTACTGTTCTTGAGCCACTCGGACCGTGGTGGTGAGTTTTCTCCCACTCGTCTGGAGGCGTTCTCTCAGGGTGAGGAGATTACCCGGTCTTACACGCTACCAGACTCGCCACAACAGCACGGGGTAGTTATGCGACGCATCGGCTTGGTCATGGAGGATGCCCATACCTCCATGCGCCATGCCGGTGCACCCCAGTTCCTGTGGAACCAGCCTGTCCGCTACGCCGCACACCAGCTGAACCTGTGGCCCAGTGACGCACGGCCACGGGTGACGCCGGTCTTCCTTTGGACAGGGTCTCGGGGTGTAACAGTTGGCTACCGCGTCTGGAATTCTCTGCCTCACGTTTGCGCCCCTGGCGTAAACAAGTTGTCTGCGTGCACTCGTGCCTGCGTCTTTCTTGGCTTCCCTCTTGACGCCTCCGGCTAAGCGTTCTACGACCCGGTCGCCCACCAGTTCTTCGCTTCTCAGGACGTCACCTTTGACGAGTCTGTTTGTTACTACAGGAGTCGCCCCCACCGAGGTATTGAGGCCTTCCCCCCCCCCGCTGTTCCTCACCCCTGAGCCCCCCCCAGTCGCCCCGGTAGCCCCCCCTGTCATAAATATAATTATATGTTATGCTATATAACTGCCTGTAGAATTTACTGTAGTGTAGTTCATATTGTTTGGTCGTGCACCTCTGTTCATTTTGCTATACGTACCTTGTGTGCTATAGTGAAACTTCCCACGCTACTCTCGATACCCTTGCCTAGGCTCCTCAGCCTAGGCTCCCAGTTCATCCAGTTTCCTAGCTAAGACACTATTGTGACATGGTATTGAGCGATTAACATCCTAACCTAAGTTATTGGGCCCACCCATTCGCGGCACAGCGCTCGCTGCGACGGGCGCGGCGGCGAGCTGGCCGCGTTTCCCTCTTCACCAGCCCGTCATTTTTCCCTCGTCGCCAGCACGTCGCGTTTTCCCGCGTCGCTAGCCCGTCGCGTTTCCCCCGTCGCCAGCCCATCGCGTTTCCCTCGTGGTCAGCCCGTCGCCTTCCCCCCCCGTCCCGTTTTTTCCCCCCCCGTCACCTCGACTGCCCGCGCTTGCCTCATCTCCCCATCGTCCCCTCCGCCCTGGTTACCCCACTTGCGCTCCAGCCAGCACCAGCACGGCCGCCAGCGCCAACCGCAAGCCCTGTCGCCCGCCCCTTCGTCTTCCCTCCCGCGGCTGCTGCTGGGGGAAGGGGGGGGAGGTGGCGGGGACGGGGGGTGGGGGGGTTGGCCGCCATGAGCAGAAGCAGCACAGCCGCCTCCTCCTCCTCTCGCTCACTCCCGCGTGTGTCGTTGAGGGGGGGGGCTGAGGGGGTGGCGGTAAGGATTCTGCAGGGACTACCGTGGGTGGAGAAGGGCCTGGAGGAAGGAAGGGGGGCAGGGGGTGAGGTTCCAGGGGGCGGCTGATAAAGGGGGTGAAGTTAAAGGGGGGTGGTTGATTGGGGATGGGGATTTGGGGGTTAGTAAGAGGGGATCGCCGGCAGTGAGCTGTCACGCTCATGCACGCCCCCCCACCTCCTCTCCTCACCCCTCACTCACCTCCCCCTTCGTACTTCTCTCCTCACTCTCTCTCTCTCTCTCTCTCTCTCTCTCTCTCTCTCTCTCTCTCTCTCAAGCGGTCCTTCATTGATGTATAGGAGGGTACAAGCAGGGTGATAGCTAGTCCTGGCATGCAAAAAAACCACCTAGGATATGAGCACCCATCCTAAGCAAGCAAGCATTCATTGCCTTAGGCTCACAGCCTTAGTCCTAGGCAGGCACCCAAGCCCCCTCTCCGCCTGTAGGGCCATCCACCCAGCTGCGGGCTACCCTTGCCGCCTCATCGGCCTCTCCGGCCTTTTCTCCTCCCAGCTCCAGTCCTGGGCATACCCATCTTCCAGGACCTGCCACAGGTCCCCCAGCTGTGGCTCCCACGGGTCAGAGGGGCCTTGTGGGAATGCTGCCTCCGCTGCCCTGTTCGACTTGGCGAGCAGGGCGTTGGCTTGGCAGCGCTGGAGGAGCACCGGCCAACGTTGTCGGTAGTGGGCAGTGAGCCTCGAGGCAACCATGGTTGACCTCCCCTGTCTGTACTTTTTCTTGGCTCCTGACGTGCCCAGGAGCCTGAAGAACCGCTGTGTATCCTTTGCCATTGCCCCGTACGTCTCTACCGCCATGCCAAAGCATCCCACCCACCCCGGCCTTCCCGTGTACATGCCATGCTTTGTCCTTGCCGCCTCCTCCGCAGCCCATCCCGGCGGCTTCACTGCTCGCTTGTCTCGACGTTGTAGCACTGGGTCCGTCACAGTCACGTCCACCACCGAGGTCTCTCCTGATTCCTTGTCACGAATGATCAAGTCCGCCCGTTTTTGGTTGGTTATGGGGCTGAAAATGGCCGATTCGTGCAAGGTGAGGAAATCCGCTTCCCTTGCCATGCGGAGGGCCGAGTACACCAATGCGTTGTGCGTTGTTGTGCGGTCTCCCCCTTCCGCGCACCTCAGCAAGTGATTCGGGAGGCTTGTGTCCCCTATCTTCGCCCTCCTTCCCCGGCAAGGGCAGTTGTCCGTCACTGCCAGTGTGAGTCCAAGGCGGAGGCCAATTGCTAGCGCAAACTGCCCCGGGGAGAAGGTTAGGTCCGCCCGCGTCGGTATGGCATGCAGCCAATCACCCGCGCCTGCTCCTTGGAGGCTCAGTAGGCGAAGGAGATGGCCACTGTCTGCGCCCGGTTTGTCTTCCCGTGTGTCGCCTAGAAGTTCCGCCGCCTGCTCCGTATTGATGTGACGCGACAGTATGAGCTGCAGGTGCCCCTTCCCGTCATCTCGCTCTAAGTATGCTTGTAGTGCCGCCCTAGCCGATGCTGGCAGGCGCACCCACATGTCCCTTCGGATGTCTTCCCCATTGGTCCTCTGTTCCCCTAGCTGTGGTGAGACAAGCCGTGCCGTACTGATCATGGGGTTGCCTGGCGCCAGGGGAAGTTGCCGTAGGAGTGCGTGGGCCGCCGTCAGAGATGCAAGGTACGCTGCTGGGGCTTCGGAGAGCGGGTCGATCAGGCCGAGACCCCCCAGGGCCACCGGTAGTGTTGCCTGGCGCCACAGGAGGCTCTGCTCCATCTCGTCTGCCGGTAGGTAGAGGTGTGCCGCTCTGAAGACCGTATGGAGTAGTCGGTCGCTCCACTCGCGCCATTCCGTCCGTGAGATGAGGTCCGCTGGTGTCGTGCGGAGCAGGTACGACGCTCTCCTCGAAATGCAGCGGGAAAGCAGGAGCATGGCGTGTTGGGGGTGAAGACCACTGATTAGGTCTAGGGGCGCGGCAATCTTCTCCAGTGCTCTCCGTACGAAGTTCCTCCCAAAGGCCGCTGATCCGATCGGGCTCCCTAGGACTTTGATTCCGTCCATTGCCGCCACGAGTCAAGTGCCCCCGCCGGGCTGCATGCCGAGGATTTCGCCAGGTTGCATCGTAGCCCGGCGGTGCGTAGTTCATTGGTGATCAGCAGCATCGCTTGTCCCGCCGACTCAGGGTCTCCTACCAGAGTGATATCGTCTGCGTATGCCATCACCACCACCGATGGGAATTCATCTGCGGCTTTGAGTAGCGCCGGTTGTATAGCCACCGCAAAAAGTGTCGGTCCCAACGCGTCTCCCTGTCGCACTCCCCTCGTGCTCTCAATGTATTTTGAGGAGAACCCCTCATCTAGAAGCAGTCGGGAGGGGCTTTCATACAGCGTGCACACGAAGGGGATCATTGGGTGTAGTCCCGACCATCTGAGCGACGTGAAGAAGCTCTGCCGCTCGACCGAGTTAAAGGCGTTCTCGATATCTAACTGCAGTGCGACACGGTCGGGGTCATCCTTAAGTAGTGCTCGCGTTGAGTGAATAATACACTCCGCTCCTCCTGAGACCGAGACTCCGAACTGCACTGGTAAGAAGTATTTCCGAATCTGCGGCGTGAGCTCACGTAGTGCGATCTTGGCCGTTAGTCGAAGCAGTGCTTCTCCTATAGCTATCGGCCGTACACCTCCATCAGGCTTCTCCAGAGCAATCAGGCGAGACGGTAGTAAGAGGTCGCGAATACTCTCTGGTTGCTCCTTGCCGAGCAGATTGTTGGCGACTTCTAGCAGGAGTGTGAGCACTTCCCCATTTGCTAGCGCTGGTTCGCGAAGATGCTCGAAACAGGTTCCGGAGGGGCCCGCGCCGATCCCATTCGGGCATTTCGCCAAGACATTGCGTAACTTGTCGGCCGTCGTGGCGAGGGTTGACGCCTTGAACCCACTTACCCAACCTGGTATGACAGTTGACGCCTCCGGGTGTTTTGCGCGTAGTGACTTAAGTGTAGTCGCTGATGCTTCCGCGAGGGGGGAGGACTGTAGTGCTGCAACTGCTTTGGCGAGGTTTGCTTTCTGTACCAGTCCCTCGGCTCTCGCTCGGAGTCCCTCGGGGTCTGGCTGGTGTCTGGACGGTTTGGGGTCTTCTGGTACGGTTTTGGCCTCCATGAATAGTAGCTCCCATTTTTCCAGTCAGAACTGTTGCAGTCTGCCCTCGATATCCTGCCAGTGGTTTGCACAGTTGGGGTCGATATCGGCGCGTAGTGTCAGCCGTGGCAAAAAGAGGAGTGCCCTCCAAGCTCCTGGGCACGTAGGATTTTTCCTCAGTCGCTGGAGTGGGATGACGAGGCACGCCGCAAACGAATCGATCACTCCAGGTGGCATTCTCCTTGCCAGGAAGGGTTGTTCACTGCTTCGCAGGCCGTCCACCTCCCATTCTGCCACCTGTCGCCAGATGTCCTCGTCCCTAGCTATCACTTCGGGTGAGCGCATGTCCCTCACTTCCGTGCCAGCAGGTTGGCCTATTGGGGCCCCGTTTGGCGCCTCCCTGTGCTGTTGCTCCTCTCCTGCCCTCCCATTTTCTCCCCTCCGTGATCTCCCAGATCGGGCGTTCCCCTGGTGGTTACCCACCCCAGGCTCGTCATCTAGTGAGACCTCTTCCGATTCTCCTTCCTCCGATGCCATATAAGCCTCCTCCCCCTCCTCGTTGTCAACAGCAGCTGGCCTATCAGCGATCCCCTCCTCTGGCACCCCCTCTGGCCTTCCGTGCCTTTCCCGCCATGGTCCGGATCTGACCCGTTCCCGCGCGTTGACCGCCGCTCCCCGTCGCCCCCGTCCCCGCGCCCCTGCGCGCCCCCGGGCTCGGCCCCGTGCCCTTCCTCGCGTCCTTCCCGCCGCACTTGGCGGTCGCAGAACTTCCTCCTCTGCTGGAATCTCGCCCGCCTCCCCCTCCTCCTCCGCTCTCGCCGATGACGGGTAAGGCCGCGAAGGCCCCTCGCCGTGAGGTCGTGGTTGGTAGGTCTGGCACTCCCACCCCCGAAGGGGGCCAGGGAGGCCAGGTGCCAGCCCTGCTCCGAGCCGCCGCGGACTTGGTTGAAGCCGAATCGAGCGGCGGATCGGGCCGTGGGCGGCGTCAATCCCCGGACTCCCGACGCCCTGTGTATCACCCACCACCCGGTCGAACGCCGTACTACCTCCGCCCCCGGGGTCAGCCGTTCCGTCATCCCCGGCGTCCCCGTCATCAACCCTGGCGGCCGGGGCCCTTTCCTCCTCATCGGCAAGTCCTTCCGCCACCGCCTGTGCCGGCGGTGCCTCCGCCGTCGGTTCCTCCCCCACCGTCTCAGCCTCCGCCGGTGCTGGCTCTGCCTGCGCTTGCCTCCCTTCAGATACAGCCGGCGCCTGTGCTTCCTCCCGCGCCTCCTCCTCCACACCCGCCGTTGGTTTTGCCAGCGCAGCCCCAGCTCCACGTTGCGTCGGCGCTTCTTGTTGCGCCGTCTGCCTCAGCCCCTCCCGCTGCTCCGGCTCCGCCGCCACCCGCTCCTCCTGTCCAGCAGCCTCAGCGCCAGCATCCTCTTGTTCCTCGTCCCCGTCCTGCCGTTGCTCGCTGGGGTGTGGTGAGTCTGGTACCTCTGTCACCAGCGGGGGTCCCCCCGTGTTTGGCGCTTTCCCGCCCGTTGGCTTTCCGTGTGTGTTCTCTCCCTGTCCATTGTGGTGTACTTCTTGCTCGTGTCTGACTCCTCGTCGTGACTCCTATCCAGGTGTCGTCGCAGCCAAACGAGTGCCACCGCGGCTGGGACGAGTTTGAGACGCCCGGGACTTCACGAGATCCGCAGCTGGACTGGTGGAACATGGGCTGGCCGAATTTCCCCCGCGAGCCTGGGTGGGGGCAAGGGTGGAGTCAGTCCCCAGGCGAGGCCGAGTATCTTGAGCGCGGGGAGCGCCTGTCTCAGGTCGGGTGCTTCGTGACGCGCCTTGCGACGGTGCTGGAGCAATATCACCTCGCCGTGCAGAGTCGGATGCTCGTCGCTCGTGACCCGCAGCTTGATGAAGTGCAGCAGGGGCTTGTTCGAGGGGCATTGTCGGAGGCGATGTGGGAGCTGCTCCACTTGCTGCTAGAGCCGGAGGATGTTGAGCTTGATGATGGTCCTGGCGCCTTGGCTTTCCGCAGGGTAGCCACGGCGGCTGAAGAGTCGCCGCTGGATCTCGTCCCTGCGATCGCGTCTTTGCTCCAGTGGGTTGGGAGGCGTGTGAGGCTGATGTAGTGGCCCCTCCGGCTTTTGCCGCCGGTGATTGCTTCTTTCTCCCCATTATGGGGACTTACCTGTGCCGGATTTTCCGGTTGCCTAGTGGGCCATGTTGTACCGTTGTCTTAGTATGCACGTTGTTTCTTACTGGTTTCAGCCTTGTTTCCTTGTCACGCCGGTTTTTGGAGAGTGAACCCAACTCACCAGTGAATAATGAGCTCAAAGGACTGGATCCAGGTGCTTTATACAAAGGAGACTAGGCTAGAAACGGCTAAGGACTGGATCCTAAGCTAGAGAGGCCTAGAAACGGCTAAGGACTGGAACTAGGCCATCTCTCTCTCTCTCTCTCTCTCTCTCTCTCTCTCTCTCTCTCTCTCTCTCTCTCTCTCTCTCTCTCTAATGGTCCTTGTATTGATATAGTCGGCAAGTACAAGCATGCAAGTTATAGAGTCGTAGGTAACACACATGCTAAGCACAAGCACCACAGATCTACAATTCCACTAGGGGCTCAATGACTGCGAAGCAGTCCCCAAGGTGCAATTCGTCCCCAATTCCCCCCACAGGCGGGTTCTCTACTGCCGCAGCCTCTCCAAGCTTGAGCAGGAGGCCCACAGATTGGGCCCTTTGCAGGGCCACCGACCAGCGTTGCCTGAACTGGTGCAGGAACTTTGCAGCATAGAACGATTTGGAGTCGGCGTTGAAGTGGCGCCGAGCTGCAGTGTCCGCCAAGAGCTTCAGGAAGACTGGCACCTCCGCGCAGGGGCAGCCGTAGGTGTCCACCGCAAGTGGGAAGAACTTCACCGTCTCTGGCAGGGTGGCGTAGTGCTGGATCTTCTTGTCCGCTTGCTCCCGTGCCGCCCAGCCCCTGCCTTTCTGCGCCTCTGGATCCCTAGTGCTAATAGGGTCGGTAATGGTGACGTCGCATACGTAGACGGCCCCACTGCTTCTGTCCGTCATTGTAAAATCAGCCGTCTGTTCCTCAATGGGGCAGTGCGCCGACGACTCGCCGTGGACAATGAACCCCGCGTCTTGGGCCATGCTAATGCAGGCATCGCGCAGCTCGTTATGGGTGTTGATGCGATGCTTGCCCGTGCCGCAGCAGTGTCGCGAAGTGCTGGGTGTATTCCCGCCGCAAACAGTAAAGGGCCAAGTGGGTCCCCTTGACGCACTCCCCGTTCGCTGGTCAGCAGGTCACATTCGAAATTTGCGTCGAGGTGCAACTTGGACGGGTTACCATAGGTCAGTTTCACCAGCGGCACTAGTGGCGATAGCCCGGGTTCGTGTAACGCCGTCGCGATAGCTTGTCGGGATATGCTGTTGAATGCATTCGAGATGTCGGTCTGCAGCACCAGGCTGTTGGGTAGCTTGTCCAGTTACGCCCGTGCCACGTGGATAACTGCCTCGGCTCCTCCTGGCACAGCCACTCCATACTGTAGAGGCAGGAAATAGTCACGTGCAGCATCGCCCGTGGCTGCGAGGGCTGCCTTGGATGTCAGCCGAGTGATGCACTCGCCAATCGCGATTGGTCGAGCCCCCCCACCAGGTTTGGCCAGGGCTATGAGTCGCGAGGCTGTCAGTAGGTCTGCCACCGGTGCTGGTAGGTTGCCCCCCAAAATGGTGTTTATCAATGCGTGCAGATGGGTGCTGACTCGCCCCTTCGTGATTTCCGCGTCGCGCATGTGCTCGAAAGTTGTTCCCGAAGGTCCGGCACCGACCCCGTTCTCGCACCTCCCCAGCAGTTTGGCGAAGTCAGCGTGGGTGATGGATAATTTTGACTCGGGCGTGGGTGGCCACGTCGTTTGTCCTGTTTCGGCTGGCGGATGTTTCAGTCGGAGCTCCTCCAGAATTTCTGGAGTTGGTTTGCAGACTGGCGTTGACTCTAACGCCAACACGGCTCGGCGCAGGCTACCACGTTTCGCCAGGCCCTCGGCTCGGCTGATGACCCCAGTAGCATCGGGCTGATGACGTGGTGGCGCGGGTGAGTTGACTGCTTCAATCGCGTCCCTGTACAGTTGGTCCCACTCGCCACGCTGGAAGGCTCGGAGCCGGGCCTTGATCTGGGGCCAGTTCGGTTTCCGTGGCGAGTTTGGGCGAAGCGTCAGACGTGGCAGAAAGAGGAGAAGGCGCCAACCTGCCTCTGATTCCGGGTTTCGTGACAGGTGGAGTAACGGGGTCAGTAGCGTCAGCGAAAACAACTGGCACAAGTTTGGCGGTAACCGCCGTGCCAGAGATGGCTGCCGACTGTCGCAGAGGGCAGGGATATCCCAGTTCGCGATGTCCGCGAACCCGTCTGCCCACATCGCCAGCTCCTCTGGCGTGAAATAGCGAGGGAGATTGGGATTTTCTCGCACCGCCGTCGTGTCTGTCGCGGCCCGATGTCGCCTGGTGCGGCCCGTCCTCGCTTGTGATGGTGGGGTGGGAATTTCGCCCGTACGATCGGCATCGGACGGTCCACCAGCGGTGTCCCTTTGCTCGCCAAGGGACTGCCTTGGTCTTGCTCCCGTCCTCCTCCCGTTCTCCCTTACTCCTTCCTCTCCTTCCGTTCTCCCTTACTCCTTCCTCTCCTTCCGTCCCTTCATCTTCGCTCGAGGGCATGGGCTCCTCCCTATAAGAGGGGTCCGTTCCCTCTTCGTCATTATCTAGCCTGTTTAAAGCCCTTCGTGCCTCCGACTGATAGCCGTTCTCCGGCCCTCCTCCTTGTCCGCTAGCTGCTTCACGCCCTCCGCCTCGCGCTCCTCCGTCTCGCGATGGTGATTGCTGGTGTGACCGATTACTCGCCAATGCGCGCTGGCGCTGCGTCGGTTGTGTTTGAAAAGCCGACGTCTGCCTCCGGAGCGGGGACCATGGCGACGGGGTCCCCGCCGCCGTCTGCTCCGAAGCCCGCGACAGTAGACGCTGAAAAGACTCCTCCCCTCGTATCCGCGGGTCCCCACGGCGGGAACGAGGCTGCGCCGTCTGCGCCGGCTGTTGCTCCTCCCGCTCCGACTGTCGCTCCTGTTCCCCCTGCTCCCGTTGTGGCGTCGACGACGGCTGCTCCTGCTGGGGAAGCTGCTGTTCCCCCTGTCCCTGTCCCTGGCGCTCCTGGTGCACCTGTCGTTTCTGTCCCCGGCGAGCTTGCGCCGGCGTCTGCTTCTTCCCCGAAGGCGGCGTCCGCCACCACTGTCGGCCCGGCCCCGATGGTTGCGCCTCCCGGCGCGAACCTGATGGCTCCCGCTCTGCCGCCAGCAGTCCCTGTTGGTGAGCCGTCTCGTCCCCCGTCGCCTGACCGCCGTCTCTCCCGGCCCCATTCTCCAGCGCCCCAACAGGAGCGCGAGACGTCGCGGCGCCGGCGCATCTCCCCCCGGCGCTACCAGCAGCAGGCCCAGTGGCCCGCTCACCCGGGTGGCAATGGGGGCTGGAGGGGTCCCCACGGGCGTGGTGGCGGCGGGAGGTATCGTCCGCCCGTGACAATGGCGGACAGCGGGAGGTGTCCCGGGCCGTGCGCGAGGAGAGGGCGGCGCAGAGCCAGAGCAGTTCGCTGCGGGCTGCGCCGGCGCACGTGGCTCCTCGCCCGACTGTGCCTCCTGTGGTCCCTCCGCCGGCTGCTGCACTTCCTCCGCCTGTCCTCGCCCCGTCAGCTCCCTCTCCTTCTGTAGCGGCGCCAGCTCCCGGCTCTCGTCTGCATCTGCCGCCGGTTCCGCCTGTTGCGGGGGTGGAGTTTGTGGCCGCGGGTGGTGGCGCGGCAGCGGCTCAGTATGCAGCTGATGAGCCGCTCCAGTTTCTGGCGGAGGCGCTTCAGCCTCCGCAGACGCGTGTTCCCGAGTCGACTCTCGGTCAGCTCCACCGCCTCGCAGAGAGTCTCCACGCGTTGCTGCTGATACAAGTCCTTGCTCACTCCTCACTCCCTGTGATCCCTCCTGAGACGTTCCGCGACCGTCCGCGCGAGACCTGCCTGGATGCGGCGGACCAGCTCGCAGTGCTGCTGGCGCCCGTGCTGGCTGCGCCCGCGGAGGGTGGCGCTGCTGCTGCGGGATAGCTGGACGAGGCTGTCCGGAGCTTGAAGCGGCATTTGCGCGCAGGATCTGGAGCCGCGGCGATCGGCGCAAGCACGCTTGTGGTCCGGGAGCTGTGGCGCTCCCTGACGGGCGTTCTTCACGCCCTTGGAGCTCACCGCATGTAGTTGCGGGCTCCCCTATCTCTGTTCCCGCCATTCTAGGCCTCTATGTGTGATGCCATGTGTGTATGTCAACTCAGTAGTGTAGTTGTTTGCGCGGTGTGCGCTTGCCGTCCCCTCACGCGCGGCCGAAGGCCGCGCCGGCGAGCGTCGGCCGCCGAAGGCGGCCGGCGCGAGCCGCTCGGTTAGGAGAAGCTAATGAAGAAGAACCGAACAATGAGGAGAGTGAGCAAGCAAGCTGAGCTATATACTAGGATGGAGAGGGCTGGAGAGGCTAAGGACTAGCTCCTAGGGCCTCTCTCTCTCTCTCTCTCGCTCTCTCCCGCTCGGTTAGGAGAAGCTAATGAAGAAGAACCGAACAATGAGGAGAGTGAGCAAGCAAGCTGAGCTATATACTAGGATGGAGAGGGCTGGAGAGGCTAAGGACTGGCTCCTAGGGCCTCTCTCTCTCTCTCTCTCTCTCTCTCTCTCTCTCTCTCTCTCTCTCTCTCGCCTCCTCCTCCTCACTTACCCCTCAGCCGTCTTCCGCTGCGCCAGGTGTACCCCTTCAAGGGGTGTTCTACACAGGTTTTCTCCTGCAGGCAGTTATGGGGGTGTGTCATAATTATAATTATATGTTATGTTATATAACTGCCTGTAGAATTTACTGTAGTGTAGCTCCTATTGTTTGGTGGTGCACCTTTGTTCATTTTGCTATATGTACCTTGTGTGCTATAGTGAAACTCCAATCATTCCAACTCTCCTTGCCCACGCTACTCTCGATACCCTTGCCTAGGCTCCTCAGCCTAGGCTCCTAGTTAATCCCGTTTCCTAGCTAAGACACTATTGTGACACCCCCCCACCCCCGACGCGTCTTGCCCCGTCAGGTGTGTCGCACGTCACTCCGTAATCGTCTCCCCCGCAGCGTCCAGTCCCTGTCGTGTCTGGGGGTGCGAGAGGTGTAGCTGCGGAGGGTGAGGGTACTGGGGCTACTGGAGCTGGTGGTGACGGCTCTGGGGGTGCAGGGGGTGTGGGCGTGGAGGCCCCTCCTGTGGAGGACACGGCTGCCTCGAGTCGGCGGCCTCCCCCTGCCTCGCCCCCTGGCTTCCCGTCAGTTCCGCAGTTCCCTCCTCGTTCGCCTTCGCGGCCTGTCGCTGCGGAGCCTAGGAGTGCTCCTTCCAGAGGTACTGGAGGCCCTGGAGTTGTTGTTGGTGGAGGTTATGGTTCTGGGGGTGCTGGAGCTGGAGGCGCTGGCACCTCAGCACCCACACTACGCACTCTACGGTTCCTGACACATGAGCAGCGTCATCTTTGGATGGAGAGGGAGGAGCGGGAGTGGTTTGAGAGGGCACGGCAGCAGCAGCAGGAGTAGTTCCAGTCGGAGTGCCATGAGAGAGTAGAGAAGGAGACACGGCCGCAGCAGCAGGTGCAGTCGCAGCCGCACCAGGAGAGAGTAGAGGAGGAGTCACGGCCGCAGCAGCAAGTGCAGTTGCAGCCGCACCAGGAGAGGGTAGAGGAGGAGCCACGGCCCCAGCAGCAGGTGCAGTTGCAGCCGCAGCAGGAGAGGGTAGAGGAGGAGTCACGGCCACAGCAGCAGGTGCAGATGCAGCCGCAGCAAGAGAGCGTAGAGGAGTAGCCACGGCCGCAGCAGTGAGTGCAGTTGCAGCCACCACAGGACAGAGTAGAGGAGGAGCCACACCTGGAGCAGCAGGAGCAGCAGCAAGGGCAGGTGACGCCGCAACAGACGCCGGAGGAGGTGGAGCAGCAACGACTGGGAGACATGCCCGACCTGGCACCTGCACGCTTGGTCCGTGGTCCCCTGCCGTCTCCCCCTGTTCCCCCTGTCGAGTCCCTTGCCTCGTCCCCGTGGACTCGTCGTTCTCCCCTCAGGCGTGCTGTGTCTCTAGAGCCTCGTCGGTCTCGTTACCGTGCTGACGGCCCGTTTCACCTTGTAATCCGCTCTCGTGTTCCACCTCCTCTGGTCCTTCCACGGCCTTCTGAGTCGTCCCTTACTGTGTTTCCCCACCCACTATCCGACTACCTCCGTACCTCCGGTCCTGTCGTCTCCCGTGTTTTCTCGTCGTTGGTCACTCACCCCACTGCCCCCCCCGGTGTCTCTCTCGTCTCTTGTTACCACTGTTGCTGGCTTTGCCTCTTCCGACCGGCTTGACTACACTTGTCACCTGGTGAGCGGCACTGCTCGTTCTCCGTCCATTGGGGGTGTTCTTGTTTTTCCCCTGGACGTCTTGGAGGACAGGCAGTTCGGGCTTGGTTTCCTTGCGGCCGCTGTTCCTCATCTCTGCGCCATGCTGCTTGCCCCTAAGGGGGATCCATACGCCCTTGACATCCCGATCCCTCGCACTCACGCCGAGGCGGTCTCGGGACCATGGGCTTCGTACTAGATAGCGGCTGAGGAGGCAGAGATGGCATCTTATCGGTCCACAGCACCTACGTCGACACCGTCCCACCTCGTGGGGCGAACGACGTTAGTGGCATGTGGCTCTACAAGGTGAAGCGGCCGCCTGGAGCACCTCCGGTGTTCAAGGAGCGCTATGTGGTGAGAGGCTTCAGTCAGCGAGAGGGGGTATACTTCTTCCAGACCTTCGGGTGTTGCTGCATATTGCAGCACAGCGCGACAACGAGTTGAACTCCTTAGACTTCTCCACCGCATTCCTTCAGGGGAGCCTGCACGAGCAGATCTGGCTACGTCGTCCGCGTGGATTCTCTGGCACTTTCCCTCCTGGGACCCAGTAGCAGCTGCGTCGACCGATCTACGGCCTGCGCCAGGCTCCCCGCGAGTGGCACGACACGAGAGGTACGACTCTTGCAGCGCTTGACTTCTTTCCGTCGTCCGCCGACCCGTCGTTGTTCGACGTTGACGACCTGGTCTTTGCCACTCCCGAACGACACGCACTGGCCTCCATGAAGGAGGAACTGCACAGGAGACACACTTGCACTGACCTTGGTGAGCTGCAGCGCTACCTTGGTCTGCAGATCACTAGGGACAGGGCAGCTCGCACCATTACGCTGACGCAGTCGCATATGGTCGAGCAGATCCTCACGCGGTTTCGCTTCCCGTTCTCCAAGGTACAGCTCACCCCTCTTGCTGTGGATCATGGGCTCACGGCTCCACCTTCGGACGAGCCATTTGAGTCCAGCGGTCCATATACTGAGTTGGTGGTGAAGTATGTGGCAAGCACATCAGGCATGGGACTTCCTTGGAGGGAAGCAGGCAGTTACACTCACAGGTTTTTTGGTCTCGTTGTGGGCCGACGACGCTGAGTCGCTGTGGTCTACACAGGGTTACTGCTTCAGCCTTGTGACCGGAGCTGTTTCGTGGAGGTCGACTCGGGCATCGTCCGTCTCCAGTTCTAGCTGTGAGGCAGAGGTGTACGCTGCGGCCATGGCCGCCCAGGAGCTTCGCTGGCTGTCTTTCCTCCTCACCGACCTTGGTGTGCGGCCTCGCTGTCCCCCGGTCTTGTTCGCTGACAACAGGTCTGCTATGTTGTTGTGCGAGGAGCCCAGACTGGTTGGGAAGGCAAAGCATATCCAGCTTCGTTACTTCCTTCTGCGAGAGTTGTAGCAGCGTGGCCAGGCACTCGTACGACGTGTGGTCTCTTAGGCCAACACTGCAGATATCTTCACGAAGGCGTTGCCGCCTTGTGACCACCAACGTTTCAGCACCCAGCTAGGCCTTGTGTCTACAGGCCCTCACTTTCTTGCGTAGAGATGCTTTGTCTTGTACTCTTGCATCTCACTATCTTTGCTATATCTCTGCTTGTGGACTGGACTTGTGACCCCTTGCTTACGTAGAGATGCCTGTCTTGCTTGTCTTGTACTCTTGCATCTCCTATACCTGCTATATGCTTGCATGTGGAGTGGCCTAGTGGCCCCTTGCTTGTTCTCGGACTATTTGGTGATCTTGAGATCCACCCCGAGAGTTGCTTTGTTCCTGTGAACTGGTCTTGTGACTGTTGCTTGATCTTGCTGACTGGTCCTGTGACCCTTGCTCTAAGACTGTGTGGTGACATCGTGATCCACCCTGAGATATATGTTGCTTTCCATAAGACTGGCGTCACCTAGACGATGGGGGTGTGTCAAACAATACTTGTTATAGTTTGTTGGTCGAGTTCAGGTGTTACAGTGAGTGATGTAGTAGAGGGTACAACCCCCTTTTAGGGTTTGCTATGTGTTTCCTTGTACTGCTTCATTCTAGTCATTCATTCCTACGTTCCTATCTTAACACACCCGGTCTGTCTCGTTGTCGTAATAGTCCGGATGGTGCATGTACAACACCCTGTCGAGCTTGCTGCAAGAAGGCGTTCTTCATGTCGAGCTGCATCAGGTTGAGGTCGAGGACGGCGACGAAGCTGAGGAAGATCCTCAGTGTGACATAGCTGCTGATCGGCGCGTACGTCTCGTCGTAGTCGGCGCCATATACTTGTGTGAAGCCCTTCACGACCAGCCTCGACTTCTCCCGAGCGACCGTGTCGTCGACGTGGTACTTGGTCATCAGGACCCTTCGGTTCTTCATGATGTTCACCCCGCGTGGGCGTTCGACAAGCTCCCAGGTGCCCATGCCGATGAGGCTGCGGATTTCCTCATCCATGGCGGCCTTCATCGCCTTGCCCTTCCAGCTCGCCAACGCCTCCTTCACCGTCATCGGCGCGATGTCCTAGCGGTGCTCCAGGTCGGCGTGCATGTCGGGGTCGAGCTCGGGCAGGTCGACGTCGGCGTCCGCATCATCGAGCAGCGTGGTGAAGGTGGCCGGTGGCAGGCACACATGGTAGGTCAGCCGCTCCGGTGGCCCCCGAAGTCGGCTTGAACGTCGCAGTTCAGGCTTCTCGATGGGGACCTCCACCACGTCGCTATCAGTGGACTCC